GAAACATATGAGGTTTATTAACGGTCTTAATTGTCTTCCTAAATGCATTGATGCAATGGCAAACAAGTGGTTTGAGAAGCACTCTCAGCAAGCAATTGACTCTCATCTAGAACTCTCTCTGGAGATCATAAATGGAGGAGGTGCTGAGAATACCTTCATTGACCAAAGAATATTTCCTATATCTCCTATACCAATGAAAATATCAAGACAGACGGTGAAGTGGAGAATAGATCAAATGATCCATTTTGTCGAAGGATGAAATAGTTGATCAATTATCTGAATGCCAAATGATGGCAAGTAAGCTGATTTTGTGGATAATGAAGATGACAAATGTGTAACACATACGCATTTATAGAGGAATGTGAAAAAACGGAATATGAATGACCACTTACATGCATAGTAACCGAAATTAATGGCCCAAAATCTTGGAAAGGAAAATTGGAACACCAAAGGTTTATTTCAATTTCACGAGGAGAAATGTACGTGAATATGGTACAAGGTTGATAAGTAAATTCTTGGGGCGTATTGACAACTAAAAGAAGAACGTCAATCTTATTATTTTCTATCACACAAGTCAACAAAATGGTAATTCATTAATAAATTTAATTGTCATTACAGTATAGCCACTAATGGCTACCACAAAAAGAGCCTATGCAAGACGTAATCGTCCTACAAGAATGCCCAAAATATAATTATAGTTTGCCCCAAACAGAGCGCATCTATTCTCTAAGCTTCTCCCATTCATCACATTACTCATCAGAAGCGGTAGATAATTCAATTACAAGTCCCTCGTCAATGTCCAGCTTAGAACAGTGCTCCAACAAGGACCTACATCGCTCAACCTCCTAGGAAGCAGTACGCTTTTTAGCGTCCAATCTAGCCTTATAGTCGTCCATTCTTGCTTGAAGTGCTTTCATCTTTGCAGCCAGGCTTATCATCAAAGAGTCTTCAACCATAATTTCAGAGGAGATTTCATGTAGATTGCTTCTGGTCTTCTCAAAATCTTAAAGCAGAGACTCCTTCTCGGTTACAGCATGGATATACTGAGTCTTTTTGACCTTTAACTCGACATTTCTGGTTAGCAGAGAGCTTATCTTTGAGTGGATAATCTTCAACGTCAGCTTAAAGTCGGATGAAACTTTAAGCAAAGGAAACTCAAGTGCTTAAACCAATTTGGCACCTAGAAGATCAAATTTTTCTCTTTTTTTGGAAGCACTGGCCTTGTTGATGTTCATATCCATGAAAGAAACATGCTCAAGTAGATGAAACGGAAGGACGACTGAACGAAGAAGAACGGAAAACTTCATTTGCCCTTACTTGTTCACAGGAGGCAAGCAAATCCTGAATTGAGCGCAAAATGGCATCAGCACCCTGTAAAGGAAAGTGCAAGTATTTAGCATCCTCATTACAATGAATGAAATAAAGATGAGAAAATAAAGCAGAGGCTACGTCATTAACAGCTTTTGGAAGTTGAGGCACATCACTAGTTGACCTAGCAACTTGTGGAGACTTCCATTTGTCTGGACGATCAGGCTCTGCCAAAAACGAGCAGGTCCATAGAAACCTCTACAAAATTCAAGTAGCAATGAGCAGAAGGTCAATAGCACAGTCAAGAGAAAAGATCATAAGATATGTATTACCTTTCAGTTCAGCACATGGGGGGTCAGCGCCCTAGAAAGTTGGCAGCTCTCTAGCAGGCTATGTAGGTGAAGACTCTGGGACTATGGCTTTTTCTTTAGGCAAAGCCCCTGCATCAGTCAACTTGGATGAAGCAGCTTCAGTAGAAGGCGATGGAGCAGGGGCTGCTAAAATCAGAGCATTCGAAGGAAAAGTTGAGCTCTTCTAAAAAAATTAAGGTAAAGCATTAACCTATGAAGGATTGTTTTTTATGAATAAACAAGCTCAATTACCTTTCTCTTGACGATGAGAGGTGCATCATCATCATCATCATCATCACCACCATGCAAAATTAGCGAAGCTAAAGCTGACCTTTTATGGCTGGAAGTACCTTTGGCTGTACCAACTTGAGCAGGAGGGGAAAAAGATGAAGGAGTAATATGTTTAGCGCGAGCATGCGGAGTGGGATTCTTGATGGACACGGGAGTGGCAAGAATAGGAGAAATGGAAGAAGTTGCTGGCCATTCTAGCAGGTGGAAGACACGATTAGCATCATAAGCGAATAGCCTACATTTTACAGATGGCCAAAATTGTTCAAAAAGATAATGAACGGCAGAGTAGAGTTGAAAGGGGCTAATGAGAAGCCGGTTGTCAAAAGAGTATTACAGGGTATCAATAGCCTGTGCTTCTGTTTTATTAATAGTATGGAAATGATCAATCAAGCTTTTGGAAAAGCAAGGAGGAATCGGCTACGTCTGGCCAAAACCAAGTTGATGAGCAAAAAATTGGGAAACATATATCTCCACCCCACCCTTGGCATTTGTTCCAATTAAGATATCATAGAATAGTTCTCTCCCAATCAAGAATTGACCACTAATGGGCAAGAAAGTGCTCACTTCAGCCAAAGTAGAAGTAGGTCGCACATAAATAGGATGGTGAGCAGAAAAAGGAAAAAAGGATAGGGTTGAATCCAAGTTATAAAAGAATAAAAAAACGTCCTTACTAAACATACATGGCTCAATTGGTTGATAGCTAGCCCATAACAACTAACTGATAGAGGAGGAGATGGTGGAGCACCAAGCTGGGGGAAGTATGCTCTCAACCACATGGAGCGAGCCGAAGAAGCCCATTGCCAATAGGAGATGCACTAATCCTCAAATTGAAATTGAAGGGAAGCCATGCCCCTATAAAATACGTCTAAAAATAATGAACAGAGATTCAAAGGCCTACCACGCGCTAATTCATGCGCTATAGGTAGATAACTCATAGAAGTTTTCATACTGGGCACACAAATGACGTATTTACAAAGCCAAACCTGAAAAAAGGCCACACGCTCAGTATGGGAAGGTTCAGTGTTAGAATTATTATCAAGTCCTTACATACCTGAATATGACTCAGTAAGTTTTTTATCAAATTTTGGGACAATGCCGGTAACCAAAATGCCAGGAAAATTAGTGTCGCTCAATGGTGGAAGGTTTACTAGGGCTCCAACGTCCCTCAGAGTAATAGACATTGGGTCAAGAGAAAAAATAAAAATGTTGTACTTAGATGACCAAAAACTCTGTGCAATAGGAAAAAGCACCGGGTTATAAATTAGGGGATAGAGAGCGATTTCTAATAAATCAGAAATCCTAGCACGATCAAAAATCGCCTTGGTAGGGTCATGATTTACCATACGTGCATGCCACCTACGAAAAGTAATATCAGTTTTGGGCTAAGTGTGAATACCTTTCTCGCGTATTGGTCTCAACGATAGAGAGTTCAGAAAAGGAGAATCCTGAGTACAGGGAAATAGCTGACCTACTGCAGCTTGACTAACTGATTCAGCATCATTAAATGACGGGCCTAAGTAGAATTCCTGAAGGTCAGGGTTGGCTGATGAATTGATATATGACTTGGTGAGGAGGTTTTGGAAGTCCTCGAAGCTAAAGGAGTTGTTTGAAGGGCTTTGTGGAGTAACCATTTGATGCAAAGTACAATCTTCGTAAGGGATTGTGAGAAGCGTAGTAGGGAAGCAAGAAGATGAACCGTGATTCCTATAAGAGAAAGATAAGCGCATGATGCAAAGAAAATGGCTCGATGAAGTGGCGTGTTCTTTGGTTTATAGAGGTTACGTGGTGTAACACTTTTCAAGATGCAGAGGGTTACAGCCAAATGAAAATAATGATTGGGATTATCCGCTTTTCTCAAGAATACAAGAATTGTCAGAAAATATAAAGGAAGAATATGGCATAAGATTAATACTTGATATTAATTTTGCCATATTAGGGGGTAATTGTTGACATACAAAAATGAGGACCAATTAAAATGGTCCAAAAAATAGGGTCCAGTTAGGGAAAGTGAGGGATAGGTTCAAATGAGACCATTGTGAAATGTAGTGGAGGCCCATAAATGGAGGACTATCACCACCTAAGCCTACAGGATGCCAAGGATCTGAGCTAATGAAATATCTTATTGTCGCTTAGAGCTACAGTCTCATTCCCGCCCAAGCCTTCGAAGACGCCCAAGATCTGGGCGAACATAACATCCTATTGTTATTTAAAGCGACGGTTATTGAAGTAGCTATTGAGCAGTCTTATCACATTCCACAATCCAAGAATCTCGATTGCAAGCAGTTAAGGAGAGTAGTGACAGAAGTTTAAAAATGACAGTTCTTTGACACATCAATCATTATGAAGCAAGTGGGTAGTTATAGAGCAATAAGCAGTTTCCAAACGGTTCCACAAGGAAAACTGTCGAAAGAGTATAAAAGAAAAAAGAAGACGTAGAAGGAAAGACCCCGAATCAATCAATTTCAAACAAATAATTTTACTTCTTTTAGTTCTTATTGTCAACTTTCAAGTTACTTTGTGTGCTTGTGCCCCTTGGAGGCATTCTGTTTCTTTTTCATTGTAATCTTTATAAATAAAACATTTCTCGTTAGGATTTTGTCTCAAAAGATTTGTTCATTACACAATCGTCTGAATCATCTTTTAATTGTTAGCGAGACTCGATAAATCTGTGCAAAACAGTAACATGGCTCTTTTACTAATTAGGATAGGATTAGGAAAATGTGTAGACAGAAGGTTGGAAGAGCTACCATATCGACGTATCCACAGTATACAGCCAGAATTTGTAATAAAGATTTTGTTATTTGTTCACCGGAATGTGTCCACGTAGCAAAACCCTTGTAATAGTCAAAGCCCCACATTTATGGTTGTTGAAAGTTGGACACCCGCCCACCAACATGTCCACACATGACACCCACCCTCATATGTATCTTAAAATCCCCTCCAACTACCCACTTTCTCCTCCCCTCCGTAAATCTATTTCCGTCTGCCAACATACCGTATCAGAATCAAAATAGAAATCCAGCACGACAAAAAAGGTTCCTTTCGCTGTTTTTTAACACTCTTCTCTTCCACTCTTAGTTATATTATATGATAAACTTCATTTCAGTATCATCACCTAATTTTTTGGTATCTTGTCTTAATTATACTGAGTTTGTTGTTTTTAGTAGGTAAGGATAAGTTTTTGATCCTGTTGATCATCGATTCCTTTTTATTTCTGATAAATTTTCGGATCAAATCAAATAATTAGTAACTTTACACAAATTTTATATAGAATATATTGATAGATAGATGTAATTGAAAAGGCTTTATATATTGATTGAAATATTGAATGATTCATGAAGTGTTTATGGTCAAAATTTATTCATTATTGAGGCTTTGATCGTTCATACAAGAATTTATAGGTGGTACTGTCTGCAGATCAGGAGCTGTAACCGGGTAATATTTGAGTGAGCTCCTGTGAGAGTTAAATTTGTGTTTCAATAGTTTTGAAGAATGGCTACAGGGGATGGCACTGTGAGAAAAGGGATTATCTAAAGAACGAATCTTTTACGAAAGACAACGGTAATGTGCCAGAAACTGGGTGTCTCTCTATCATTGTTCTCGGTGCTTCTGGTGATCTTGCCAAGAAAAAGACCTTCCCTGCGTTGTTTAACCTTTATCGTCAGGTTCGTTTGATTTTTTCTTTGCTTTTTTATTTTATTTTTTTAGCTGTTATATTTATCTTGACTATTGGAAATACTTTGCAAGCATGTCATTTGATCTATCGAATAGACAAGTATCCAAGTTCAAGAGTGAAAAGCAAAGTAGATTAATTTACAGTACAAGTAGAATAAATGAATGAAATGAACTTTGTGATTGGTTTTGGTATTAAATTGTACATATCTTGTGAATGATGAGCCTTTGGTAAATGGCCTTCGCATGTGCATTTGTTGGAAATTGTATCTCCAGTACTTGATAAGAGTCTTAGTGGAAGCTTAAAATAAGAATCTTTTAAATGCGAATGCTTTTTTTATTTGCTAATCTCGGATTTGCTTGGAGTTGATTGCAGGGATTTTTGCAATTAAATGAAGTTCACATTTTTGGGTATGCGAGGACCAAAATTTCAGATGATGAATTAAAAAATCGTATACGAGGGTGAGATTTTTGTATTCCTAGTCCTCGTGAATGAAATCTTATAAATAAAGACATCTGGTATTCTATTTTTTGGCCTGTATACTTCTCAGGACTAAAGATGTTTCTGCTATAATTTTTATGTTTATGCTTGGAATTTGCTATTTCTTTCAGTGGATAATGCACATGGTGACTTCCTGGTATCCATTGACCTTTTAATTAATGATTGTAGGTACCTTTCTTCAGGAAATGAAGGCGCAGTAGATGTATCAAAGTTTCTGCAATTGGTCTGTACATGACCTGCTACTTATATTTCCTTGTTTTTTAAACTTTTTACAGATGAGGTAAATAAGCTGATTTGTTATGGTTCATGTAGATTAAATATGTGAGTGGCTCTTATGATGCTGCGGAGGGATTTCTGGCATTGGACAAGGCAATAACTGAGCATGAAACATCAAGAAACAGCTCAGAAGGATTGTCTAGAAGGCTTTTCTACCTCGCACTTCCTCCATCAGTATATCCACAAGTCTGCAAAATGATCAAGAATTATTGCACAAATAAATGTATGTATTTTGTTGTGAATCAGTTTTAATATGGCTGATTTCTATCATGTGCAAGTTTTTTAATACTCTTCTGAAGGTTCCTGTTTATTATCAGGCTTCAATTTAGATTCTGGATGATGATAACCCTAGAACCTATATAACAGTTTTTGTGCATCATGGAAGATTACCCAGTAATTATATTTACATACATAAATACATAAAAATATAGAGGAATTATCTAATGAACGCCGATACTCATCTTATACTAAGCATCAGTGACATGACATATCAAATCATTGGTGTATCTTATTGTGGCCTCTTAACATTTAAATTAAGTTTGTTATCATGGATTAATATGACATTTCATTGATGCTTAACATAAGATAAGCACAGGTATTCATTAGAGCATTCCACTATACATATGAGCTCTTTCGAGCAGAATCTTAAGTGCAATAATTTATGAGCTCTTTATTACACACTTTCTAGCTGATCTTGGTGGATGGACCCGTATTGTTGTTGAGAAGCCCTTTGGCAAGGATTTGGCTTCAGCTGAGGAACTAAGCTCCCAGATTGGAGAATTATTTGATGAACCACAGATTTATCGCATTGATCACTATCTTGGCAAAGAATTGGTGCAGAACTTGGTAATACACAACGCAATAGTTGTATGATATTTTTTGGTCAAGTTATCTGAAATGTATTGTTTATTCAATCTCTTGGAAATATTGCAGTTGGTACTTCGTTTTGCTAATCGCTTCTTTTTGCCACTCTGGAACCGCGATAATATTGACAATGTACAGGTTGGTTTGTTTCCACCATGCTTCTCTCTCTCTCTCTCTCTCTCTCTCTCTCACGTATGTATAGTACTGGTGGTGTCCAATGAGTCACTAACGTTCCTACGATACCTCTCTCTCATGTATATATAGTACTAGGGGTATCCAATGAGTTACTAATGTTTTTAAGATACCGAGATTTTTAATGCAATATTTAATCATGCAAGTAAAAATAAATAAATTTATAGTTATTCAAGCCCAATGACCAGGATGGAACAGATTTTCGTTTCTAGGGAAGTAGCACTTTACTCACGCTGGATCCAAAGAGTGGAAGTCCATCTTTATCTCCCAAACATTGATGCAGATTTTTACACAAATGACAGAATTATTTGCACTGAAAAATAGATGGAGTAGAAAGATTTAATTCTGTAAGATTGCATTCTGAAATGTCATATATATAGCCTTGGAATGTGACCTTTTATCCAAGGGACATTGCCTTCTCAAGAGATTGTGAAAGGCATAAAATTGTAAGGGAGCAACATATAGAAGAGGACGTAACTTTTGAGTGAAAAGTATTTCTGCATTTAAAAGATACATTTTATCCATATGACTGTTGGACTTGAAATTTAAATTTATTGATTATTTATTCCTCTTTCCTTCTTCTCCCTTTCCATTTCCTTCTTCCTCTTAAGAATGAAGACAAGAAGACGATTTCTTCATTCAAAAATCAGCTTTTTCAACAGTTACAATATTAAAATTTTCCTCAAGTTCTGATGATTACCAATTCCTTTTCTTTCACTGCAGATTGTCTTCAGAGAAGATTTTGGAACTGAAGGTCGTGGTGGATATTTTGATGAATATGGGTATGTTCTGCTGGTGCACTTTGGAGTTTTTCTGCCTCTGTCATGAAAGTAGTCCTTATTTCTTTAGCTTTGGCAAGAGATGTAATTCTCAACTAGAATATTTCAGGAGAAGTAGTGCTTTCTTTCATTTCACGTTGCTAGTTTTGATTAGCTTGTAAAATTTGTGAATCTTGTCAATCTACTCTTTCCTTTGCAGAATTATCAGGGACATCATTCAAAATCACCTCTTGCAGGTGAGTCTTGCATTAAGTTTGAATATAAATGAATAACAGTTCTACTATCAACTAAATTGGAAAATTCTAAAATCTCGTAATTTGTATTTATGTTATTTAATGGGAACTCATTCAAAAACCATTATCTAATTTGTCCATTTCGTATACCGTTTTACTGATTGAAGATATGTGAAAATGAGTGGACAGGGTTGTAATAATGGCAAATTCCAAATGTAAATTTGTGCATGTGTTTAGATCATCTTCCTTCTCTACATATAAGCACCATATAATTTTTCTAAGTGGTAAAATGCTCTGCATTTTGTAGCACCCTAAGATGTATGCCGAAGAGCTGAATCTCTCCCTCATGTTCTGCATTCTGTACAAACCTGCAGGTTCTTTGCCTTGTTGCTATGGAGAAGCCCGTTTCTCTGAAGCCCGAGTATATCAGAGACGAGAAAGTCAAGGTATGTAGGATTTCTAGCATGATATTCAATTTGGTGCGATATAGTTTAAAAGAAATATGATCTGTTGCCTTATATGGATTCTACATGAACATAAAATTCTCTGCCATGTTTCTTCATTCTGTTGGAGTTGCCTTGACTATGCGCTAGCTTCCCTAGTTTCTGTTGCTCATTTAGTTGAAACTCAGGTTCTCCAATCAGTGGTTCCAATCAAAGATGAAGAGGTGGTTCTTGGACAATATGAAGGCTATAGGGATGACCCGACAGTTCCCGACAACTCAAACACCCCTACTTTTGCGACCATGGTTCTTCGAATACACAATGAAAGATGGGAAGGTGAGATTGAATATCAATTATTTTGGCATGTTTAGTCAAGGAGGTTTGGATATTACCAGACAACATGAAGAAAGAACATTAAGTTAATTTTTTGTTTATTATATTGTTCATTTCTGTCAAGTACTGCATATTATACATGCACTTTAGGCGTATTATTAATATTTACATATAGTAGAGAAGAATATGGCTACCCATGTGGCCAACTGATAAGTGAATAAGGTTCAGTTCATTTGAGGAGCTGTACTCCATTTTCACGTTGAGGGAGGAAAAGAAAAAGAAGAACAAGGAATACCTTTGTGTTCTCAAGTAAGAGTTGCATGTACGACATTGAATTAAATTTGTTCTAAAATTAACATGAAATTACTTGCCGTAGGTGTACCTTTTATACTTAAGGCAGGGAAGGCCCTAAACTCAAGAAAGGCAGAAATTCGGGTACAATTTAAAGATGTCCCTGGTGACATTTTCAAATGTATGTATTACAACTCTTAATCATGAATAATGTTTTTGTGCATCAATTTGATCAATAAGAGATTTTTCCCATCTCATTTTTCGATAGGACATCTGATGCGATATAACTTATTTAGGTCAAAAGCAAGGTAGAAATGAATTTGTAATACGTCTGCAACCTTCAGAGGCCATTTACATGAAGCTTACGGTAAGAATAATTACACTCATGTTATTTCCCTGGAGCCATTAGCTCAATTTTTTTATAATAAATAAAAAAATTTCAACCTCAAGGAATGGTTTTTGGGTCAAAGTCAACCTTAAACCTGGTCATCGCACGATCAAGCACATTATTTTCTGGTGGTCTAGGCTATGCTATCTCCTAAAAAATGTACTGTTGTATTTACCTGATTCTTTACTGCTTTTATTTTTTCTTTTTGAAAGAAAAAACATATTCTATCTAGGTCAGTTGTCTCATGATTCTTATGCAGTTCAGCTCTATTTCAATGATAACTTGCACATGATTATAATCAGCTCTTTTTGTTGACATTGTGGATGCTTTTTGAGATATATTTTGTAATGACAAATTAGAATGATCACATCCCAGGTTTAAATGCACTGATGGTCTCTAAACTTTTAGCGGAATTTCTAGTTGGCCGTTGAATTAAACTTTATTTCAAGTTGGTCAGTCCTTCCATGTCTTTAGTTTGACTAAAAGGGACATGGCAGTCTAGTTATTTACAAGCCAAGCTGCCAACTAGACAGCCAAGTCAGCTTCTTCCTTAGTCAAACTAATGGACATGGGTAGAGTAATCAAATCATAAAAAATGTTGCAGTGACCCACCTAGAATAAAGTTTAAATTCATTCACCAACTTGGAACAAAATGAACTTTAGTATGAAATAAACTTTCACATGAAGTTCAGAGACTACCAACCTTTTTAAATCATTATATAAGGTAAAATATTTAAATTCTTGTGTAAAATGAGCCTTCCCTTATTTCCCTTTCTTACTTCTTGCTATAAATGCTGTTAGTTTATAGATGCCTGTCAATGAAATTTTGAAGCTTGAACTCAAATTTGGGTTAATTGTCTATTTCTAGTGAATTGAGCCTTGATTCTCCTATTTTCTTCCATTTGATCGATGTTATTTAGTTGCGATCAGCGAGATATTTTGTAAGATATTCTCGTTGTTGTGTCTTCCCGACTTTAACCTCGTGTAATTGGTTGTTGACACGATTAGTTTCTGTCATGTAGGTCAAGCAACCTGGACTGGATATGTCAACTGCTCAGAGTGAACTAGATTTGTCATACAGACAACGTTATCAGGGGGTTGTCATTCCTGAGGCTTATGAACGTCTAATTCTCGACACGTATGATTACTTTTCTGTACATCATTTTTTTATTCCGACTTTTTTGAAGCTCTTTTCTTGAATATTATGGAAGTTCTATCCGCAGGGATAATGTAGAGAAATTTATACTGCTAAAGTCAAAACTTTAAAGATGGCGGGATTTAAAGCACTGGTTGTCAATCAACTATATCGAAGTTTCATATTAGTCACTGAACTTGTTTTGTTCCAAAGCGGTTACGGAAGTTTGCCTTTTGGTCACTCAGTTACATTATATTTTTCTAGCTGAATTTCTGCCGTAAAAGATGACAATCTTCGCCGTTGGAGATTCCATTAGAAAAACTAACGTTGAGTGACCAAATTGAAACAAAAAGCAGACATGAGACCACTTTGAAACAAAATAAAGTTTGGTGATTAACACAAAACTTCGCCATAAGTTGAGTGATCATGTTGTTTTTTACCCAAGGTGGCTGTGTTTTTCTGCAAGGATCTTAACCTTCTAGCCACGTGTACCATTTCAATAACGACATTTGTCTTTCGTTTTGCAGAATCCGAGGTGATCAGCAGCATTTTGTTCGTAGAGACGAGCTTAAGGTACTGCCATAATAATTTTTCGTACTTCTATAACCTTTTGTCATCAAATGTGTTGATGATACCTATTCGCCATTCTTCAGGCTGCCTGGGAGATTTTCACACCACTTTTGCACCGAATAGATAATGGCGAGTTTAAGCCAATTGCATATAAACCGGGCAGCAGAGGCCCTGTAGAAGCAGACGAATTGTTGGAAAAGGCCGGTTATGTTCAAACGCATGGCTATATTTGGATCCCCCCAACGTTATAAACTAAGTTCCTGCACAAATGAGATACAACCGGCTGCTTATATGTACCGTTGTCCTGGATTATTGGGTAATGCCATTTTCGAGCCAAGGTGTGCCTTGCAATATTGAGAAATAAGTAATGTGCAGTATCAAAACTCAAATAAGATAAAACTCTGTTTTGGAAGCCAATAAATCTGAAATATTTGAAACGTCTATACTTCTTTGACATGGAGCTGCGATGTAGCTTTTCTCGAATGTTGTCATGCACACGGTAATTGTAGCAAGCCAAATTTACTTATTTTGTCAACATAATTTCAAAACTACTTTTTCTGAACGCATGATTGAAAATAGTTTCTTATTTTGAAGGTAAAATAGTTGTTGCTTTCAAAATAAGTACGAAATCATTTATGGCACTTATTCAATTCATGTTACATATTAAATTCCAAAGATAATGAAATTAAATAGTGAGTTTAATCTTCATCATAACTTCTATGATGGATGTAAATTATTAAGTGGTTTCTTATATAAATATGTAAAAGGGTCCCTGGCCCCGTGCACAAATCCCTTCAGATATTTCTCTCTCACAAGAAGGATCCTGTGTTTTATTTCCCTCAAATAAAGAGGTTATAAAGTGAGTATTGGCTAAAAGGCTTGTTGGTAGTGTGAGGCTTTATTTCTATTGCAAATTCTCAACTGATCTTGGATAACATGGCTGGAGGTACTCAATTTATTTCTTACTTGTGGTATCAGAGCGGCCTCCATGCTTGGTTATTGAGATCTAAATACTCACATATTTGTTCTTATGCATAAAGATTTTTTTTTTTTTAATTTGAATCTAAATCTGCTACCTATGAGTGTTGCTGCTTTTGTATGTATATAGAATATATGTGGTGCAATTTAGTTATAATGCTATGTCATGGAACATAAAAGCATGTAAATAATTATTTTATTAATACATACGACATCTCATAAAGTGCTGTTAATCCATATGATGATTATTTGTCCCTACAGGAAAATAGTTGTCTTAAGGATTTTATAGCAATAAAGTGATATTAATTAAACATCGAAATAAGAAATTTTATATGCCCACGGGTATGAAAGTACTTGTATTTGATATTGGTAAAGTCATTGTAAATTTAATGTTTGATAATAACCTCACCTACTCGGTCTAAATTTACAAAATTGAAAGGTATAAATTTACAAAATTGAATTGGTATTGGTATTGGTATTGGTATTGGTTAATTCAATATAAAGCTAATCTTTACATTATTAATGTATGTGTTTACCTTATGCAATATTTCATAGTTTTTTCAATGACTTCATTCGTATTTCAATTCTATGTGGTAATAACTTTTCTTACTGGAAGGATAAAATTCTCCTAACATTGGGATGTATGGATTTCGACTTGGTGCTTCGCGTGGATGAACCACTTGTCCTTACGGAATCAAATACGCTAGAGGAAAGGGCACTATTTAAATCGGGGGAAAGATCCAATTGCTTAAGCTTGAGTCTAAAGAAGACTCATGTCAGTAAAAGCATTATGGGATCAGCATCTCAATGTAATAAGGTTAAGGACTTCATAAAGGTTATTGAAGAGCAATTTGTAAGTTCTAACAAAATATTAGCCAACACCCTAATGAAAAGGCTTTCAGACATGAAATTTGACAATTCTTAAAGTGTGCATGAGCACATAATGGAAATGAGAGATATTGTTGCTCGTTTTAAATCCCCCGAGATAGAGATTTTCAAGTCGTTCCTTGTTCATCTCATTCTGAAATCTCTTCCTATAGAGTATGGGCGATTTAAAATATCATATAACACACGTATGGAAAAATTGACCATGAATGAACTCCTAATAATGCGTGTTAGGCTAAAGCATAAGAAGTTGGAAACTACTCAGCTAACAACTCATGACAAAGAAAATGAGAACATGGGTAAATATGATCCTAAAATGAAGAACAAAATGTCAATGAAGCAAAAGAGCAATAAGAACGTTTGTTTCTTTTGTAAGAAAAAAGGGAATATGAAGAAAGACTACTTCAAGTATAAGAAATGACTCGATAATAAAGATACACTGTCTCATTTGTATGTCATGAATCTCATTTTGTTAATGTGCCAAACCATACGTGGTGGATTGATAATGGTACTACAATTCACATTGCTAATACTATGCAGAGCTTTCTAGACCTAAGGAAACTTGAACCAAATGTGCAAAATATCTATTCTGGAAACCGATTGGGATCAACTGTTGAAGGCTTGAGAATCTTAGATTAGTTTTAAAAACTAGTTTTCATTTGAATCTTAAAAACACTTTTTATGTTCCAACATATTCTCGTAATTTAGTTTCTATTTCAAAACTAGCACCATCAGGTTTTAAATTTGTATTCGAAAAAGAAGTTTTAATTTATTTCAGAATTCGACTATTGTTGGATATGGTGTTTTAGTTGGTAATTTATATAAATTTGATTTGGATCCTACTTATGAATGTAACATTTCCAACTTGCATAGAGGTATTATCGGCAATAAACGTTGTATGGTGAAAGAAGATTCATATGAATTATGGCACAAGAGACTGTGATATATCTCCATAGAGAGACTCAAAAGATTAATAAATGATGGAGTTTTATCCACTCTTGACTTCATTGATTTTGGGACTTGTGTTGACTGCATAAAAGGAAAACAGACAGACAAAACTGTTAAAGTTGTCAAAAGGAGTTTAGATATTTTTGAGATTGTTCATACGGATATTTGTAGACCTTTTTCCACTCCTTGTCTAAATGATCAAAGATATTTTATCTTAGTTATAAACAACCACTCAAGATACATACATCTCTATTTTCTAAATCATAAGGATGAAACACTAGATGCCTTCAAGATTTATAAAGCAGAAGTAGAGAAATAAAAGGAAAGAAAAATCAAGTTGTAAGGTCAAACAGAGGTGGAGAATATTACGCATGGTACACAAAAAAGTGACAAATGCCAAGTCCATTTGCTATATTTTTAGCATAACAAGGTATTGTAGTGCAATATACGATGTCTATTACACCGCAACAAAACAGTGTAGTTAAAAGAAGAAACAAAACCTTAATGGGCATGGTTAGGAATATGATAAGCAATTCAAGTCTCTCATTACATTTATGGAGTGAAGCCTTAAAAACTGTCGTATATATCTTAAATAGGATTCCATCTAAAGCAGTTACTAAAACACCATTTTAAATTTGGAATGGATGGAAACCTAGTTTAAGACATATACACATCTGGGGTTGTCCAGTTGAAGTGGGGGTTTATAATCCTCACATAAAAAAACTGAACTCGAGAACAATTAGTGGATATTTTATAGGCTATCTAGTAAACTCCATTGGTTATAGCTTCTATTGTCCTTCGCACATTCCAAAAATAATCAAGGTTAGAAATGCGAAATTTCTAGAGGTTCATCAAGTGAGTGTGAGTGAATTTCCTAGAAATATTGATTTTCAGGAAATTAGCGAATTTGTTGGGTCATCTTCCAATCAATGTATATTGATTCCTTTCAAAAGAATGAATTCAAGTACAACTGGAAATAAACCAACTAAAAAACAATCGTTACTGCATAAGGAAGACATAGAATGAAAATCGCCATTCAGTGCACAACCTATTACTACTCAAAATATACAAAATGAAAATGATGTAGTCAGTATAAAGAGATCCTCAAGAATAAGAAAGTCAACAATTTCTAGCGATTATGTTGTATATCTTCAAGAGTCTGATATATGTATTGGACTTGATAATAATCCTAGCTCATTTTCATAAGCCATTGAAGGAAAAAACTCAAGTTTTTGGTATGGTGCCATAAAAGAAGAGATGGAATTTATGGCTAAAAATCAAGTTTGGAATCTCGTTGAATTATCAGTTAGACATACAACCATTGGTTTTAAATGGTTCTATAAGATCAAAAGAAAGCTAAACTTGTAGCCAACGGTTCCACATAAAAGAAAGGTATCGATTATCATGAAATGTTTTCTCCAGTTTCTAAGAAAAATTCATTTAAAATTATAATGGCTTTAGTAGCTCATTTTGATCTAGAGCTGCATCAGATGGGTAAAAATAACATTCTTGTATGAGGATCTTGAAGAAAAAGTATACATGAAACTACTTGGAGGATTTTCTAATGATAAAAGTAACCACATGGTTTGCAAATTAAGAAAATCTATATATAGGTTAAAACAGGCTTTCCTTCAGTGGTATTTGAAGTTTTCCAATATTGTTACTTTATACGGTTTTACAGAAAATATCATTGACCAGTGCATATATCTTAAAGTCAGTTAGAGCAAATATATTTATCTAGTCCTTTATGTAGATGACAATTTACTTGCAAGCAATGATTTAGGTTTGCTACATGACACGAAACAATTTCTTAGTCGAAACTTTGAGATGAAAAACATGGGTGAAGCTTCTTATGGCGTAAAGATTCACAGAGACGGATTTAAAAGGTCATTATGATTGTCTCAGAAGGCCTACATTGAAAAAGTTTTGGAAAGATTTAGGATGAAGGATTGTGCATTAAGTGTAGCACTCATTGTTAAAGGTAATAAATTCAGTCAGAAACAGTGTCCATTAAATGAATTGGAAAGAGAACACATGGCTTCTATACCCTATGCTTCCGCTGTTGGCATTTTGATGTATGCACAAGTTTGTACTAAACCCGACATTGCATTTGCAATTGGTGTACTAAACAAATATTAAAGTAATCCGGGTACAGAACATTGGAAAGCTGCCAAAAAAGTAATAAGGTATTTTTCAAGGAACTAAAGACTACAGACTTACATACAAAGCATTTAGATAATCTTGAAGTTGTTGGATATATGGACTCATATTTTGCTGGTTGTGTAGACTATAATTGCATCATCTACCATGGAGGCAGAATACATTGGTTGTTATGAAGTTACAACATAGGCATCATGGTTGAGAAATTTTGTCAAAAGCTTAATAATTGTTGGTACCATATAGAAGCATTTGAAGATTTATTGTGATAATTCGATTGCAC